ATTTGAATTAATTTATCAAGTTAAATTAATTCAAATTAATTTTTAATCAGAAAAAAATTAATGCAAACTAATTTAATATGAGACTTTTTAAAATTGGTTTGCATTAATTTCCAAAAGTTCCAATGGGTACAATCTTAATATTTGATTGCAACATTAAAGTAAATTGAAATCGAATTACATTGAACTGTTGTTGGGGAAACAATCGAGTTGATCTATAATCAAGTTGATTGCAGAAAATCAGTTCTGTCATGTTTTTGTCTTTGTTTAAACATCTACTTTTTTAAAAAAAAACGCTTCTCTTCTTTTTCAAAAAGAGAAATAACTACCGTTGCGGAAGCTGGGACGTCTCCTAAACAACGCTCACAATGCACCATCTGTGGTTTGTGTTTTAATATTTCAATAGCAGGTTCATGGTGATTGTGAACGTTACATAGTATCCTTATTGAGTCGTCTGAGAAGCACACAGCCTATTTCTAGTACATTTTGAAGCGGATAACTTCGTTTGAGTGATCGTAGAACGTCACCTCGTCGAAAAATGGATTTCTTTTGGTACAAGAAAGGTCACTAGGATGTTGCGAATTTGTTTTCGGAAATGTCTGTCGTTTTCCATAGCATGTTACCTGAGCTCTTCTCAGACAAACTGCTCTTCAAAAAATGTCCTTATTTGCATTTATTTGATATTCTACACTCATTCGTTGGTCTTAATTATCGTTTAAACTGAACAACTTCCTAATCCAAACAAAGAATTGAGATATCATCCTGATTATACTGTCTTTCACAGAATTCGACCTCTAGCAGTCCGGTCTCATGCTCTATGTCCTGAACAGAATAGTTTCCCCTATCGGCCTATAGAGTATATCCTGAATGAGACAGATATCGCATTCGCGATATAGTCAACACTCGAATCGGTATATATATCCCGTTCGAGATATCGATGTATTCCGGTCGAGCTGAGTTACCAAGCATGTTAAAAAGCCTGTTTGAAATATATGTGGTCAGCCAGTAATCGGATTAAGAGTTGACAGAGCCTGATTTTGAATTTGTCCTTTACTGATTTCTGGTGCTTAATAGAACTTTAAAATCCGAAAAATCCTTGGAAGATTTCTTAGAAATCCTCATTTCTAAAAAAAACAGAAGCATAATTTAAAAATCGAACTCTGTCAACGCCTACCTATAGGTGTTATCTACAAATCAAAAAAAGAAAAACTTCCTCCGATGTATCGTTACCGAGAATTCCTGTGAATGGCGAAAACGATGAAAAAAAAGTCTTAAGAAAAACGCAAAATAAGTTCTGATTCTGTTAAACGCGTTTTACTTAAAAACTGTTTGAGTATTAAATAATTTGTCAATATTTTGCTACAGATTATCGGTCATGGCGGATCTAATGACATATGCACGATCATGTGCGGCACATGCATGCGCTTATGCAATGAACATGCAAAAAAGCCAATTCTTTTTGTTATGGGGCTCCTGGAAAACTCGCTCAAAAGTTATGAAAAATCTATCCTATCGACATAAAAATTATGTCATTAGAAAGTAGACACCATAAGGAGTCGAAATAGATGTGGCTGGAGATTTTTTGCAGACGAGTTGAAGAAAAATCTTTTTTGCACGTTACTTATTAGCATAAGGACATGACTAATTCGAAAATATCTCTGCTCAGGTCTTTTCCGTTACCGAGACAGGCGGCATTATCCGTAAAATAACTACTTTTCCTGCCGGCTACTTATAATCATACCTTTATGAATAAATAACCATAAGTAGCTCAACTACAGTATAGAGACGTGTGATGAGACAGATAGGTGCGAGCTTACTTTTCATTGGTAGAAATCGTGAATAAATCAGAAGTCCGACATGGTTAAAAGTGGAAAAAGTCCAAAATTTGGAAAATTTGCGCGCTCTCGCCGCCCCCGGAAGACTTTTTATAAAATTACAACTGCCAGATAATCAATTTCCCAAAAAATCTTGCCTTTGAAGCAATAAATAAGAGCCAGTTTTTAGGAAATAATGCCTTTTATCTCGGTAACGGAAAAGACCTGAGCAGAGATATTTTCGAATTAGTCATGTCCTTATGCTAATAAGTAACTTGCAAAAAAGATTTTTCTTCAACTCGTCTGCAAAAAGACTCTAACCAGTTGAATTTTTATTTAAAAAAATTCTATTTCGACTCCATATGCTTTGAGCTATCCAACCACGTACTTTTCTCAAAATCAATTATTGCCAAAAATCGGCTTTTCTGACCCGGCGGGGGGCAGGCTTCAGTAGTGTTAAAAGGTCTCAGTCAGTACACTTAGGTAATAACATGTGTGATGATCCTTCTAGAATATTAGTATTCTCGGCTACACTCTCACGATTCTCCAATATGTAAAAGAATTTCAGTAGAATAAGTTTCTCGGAATTAAGAATAGGTTCGGGAATTTCATACTGGCATTTTAGTAATGTATTAGGCTTCAACCACAGATTACATCGTTTTTTTCCATTTTTTCCTAACAATTGCTTTTGTCGGAGTATCTGGGGTCCCGTTTAGCAAATTTGTTCATCAGAATTTGAAATTTTTGGATAAAAATATACATAAATTGTATTCAACATGCAGATCATTAAATAACACTTTTCGCTACATTGATGATCTAATTACAACAAATTCTGATGATAAATTCAATCTGCACCAAATGTCCATATATCCATCGCAACTGACGTTGAACAGAAAATGTGAGCGATCAAACCGCTACATTTCTAGATTTTGAAATGACTATCGTTAGTGGTGTAATACAAATTAAACTGTATGATAGAAGAACAAAATTCGGTTTCAAAATAGTAAATTACCCGGAGCTGAAAAGGAATTTTCCGAAAACGATGGGTTATGATGTAGTTATAGGACAATGCTTCGATTGTCGAAAACATGCATGGATTATAACACTTTTAGAAAAACTCTTAGGGACATGTACAAGAAACTGCTAGGGCAAGGATATGTTTCACAGAAGTTGCTAAACACATTCAAAAAGTTTTTGCAAAAATATGGTGCTATAGCACCATATTTCGATATTATAATATCGATTTTAAATGTATTGCCAAACAACTAATTAAAGACCAATTGAAATAGTGACATCTGCTGGCCTGATAATCCATACGAATTTTCGATTTTTTTTATACTAATCTAATGTTTTATCAATTTACAGAATAATTAACATTTGAACATCAATTCCAGCAGTAACAACATTCAAAATATTCTTAAAATAGCATTATACATGCATACAGCGTTAGCTATCCAGTTAGCTAATGGAGCGCCAGAAATAACATCATGATCGTACTAAAATGAAAGCTCCGAACGATCTTTCTGATTTCTAGCTGAAGAACTGGCATTTTGTATATGAGCTTATTTTAGAATATATCTAAAACTGACTGTAAGATCTGTTTTTATTGACTTACTGCAACTGAGTTTGTTGCATTAGAAGACTGCTCCTCATCCTTCCTATTGAGCGTTTTTCGAATCTATGTCTAAACTGTTGTTATCTTGCTTAAGAAACATTGTCTTTTTTCTTCTTATACGTCTTCAAAAACTTTTGTTGTGACATATCAGAGGACCCCCTTCGAAACTGTATTTCATTAGTCAGACTAGAAGATCCGGATCTTCCGATGTGATAACCCTTCGGTCGGAGTTTAATACTAAATCAAGTTAATACTGGTAATCACAACGAAAGATGTCTATTGAATCGATTATCAAAGATATGTTATCTCAACTTCTCGCGGTCAACAGGTAACACAGCACATTTGTTGGTTATTTATTAAACAATTGCTAGCATTCATACCACGATGTTTAATGCTCTTATTATGCTGAATTATTATATTTAGCTACTTTATATTAGATTTGCAGTTTAAAAGATGTCAGTGTGCAGACAGAACCCATATATCTCAATCAAGATATCAAAAATTTTAATTTTCGTTTGTAAGAAAATGATAAAATTTTAATTATACCACTGCACTGTGTAAAAATATTACGCTTCTTTCAAAGATAGCTAGTGAATCCTTATTGAGCGAATAGCTAAAATCTGAATGAAAAAAAATTGTGAGTTCGTATTCCTATTTTGAACTGATAATAACAATAAAAGCTTATCCTCAAAATCTGAGCACGCAGAGAAGTAAAATAATTTTGCGTTTTATGGTTACCCATGCTGATGCGGAAATGAACACTCCCCATGACTGATTTTATCTGTGTATCTGACTGCAGCCATTGTGATATTTCTCATACTCACTAACTTGTAACTGAGTACAGTTTTGTTAAAGAAATGAAGGTGAAAGTAAAACGAAAATAATTTAACTGACTCAATTTTTGGTATAAGAAGTTTTCTTTGAATTGTAGTGATCGTTGAAATCTACACTAGCAATTAAACCTTTGAGTCATCATATACACTGCACCGACTATTATATGAGAGCTGAAAATTTTTTCATCTTTGCTTTCCTCGCAGTGTTCGTAAGTGTTCGTATACGAACACTGCGAGGAAAGCAAAGATGAAAAAAATTTTATATAGTAGTGTTTTTTCTTTCCTTCAGGTGATCAAATAGACACATGTGTCTTTTTAACAGTTGAAAATAGATTTCTTCCATTAGTCATCTTTCTAGGGGTCTGAATAGGACATAAACTGTGGGGAGAATGCAAAAAATTTTCAATATCTCGTGTAGTAACAAATTATTTTGTACTGGAAGGTATACGAAAAAATTTGTTTTATTGCGCGACCAAAAACAAAATAAAAGGTGTTTAGTTCCGCTATGAGAAAACGAAACCTTTTATTTTGGGGAGTGTACACCAGGTTACCTGCACAAATTAATAGTTGGAAAATTCCCAGGTAAACAAAAAACATGTGTACTTATGTATTATCTACGCATTAGAAAAGAAATGTGTGTTTCAATATATGCGTGTATCGAAAAGGAAGAAATAGAAAAAGAGGGCAGCATGGAAAGCGATTAGATCAAGAGTATGTTCCATTCTGAGCAATAGCAAATTAACCTCCTATTTCCCGATCGGGACATAAATTCGACTAAAATATGTTAAAAAGCTTTGTTCGAAAAAATAGTTGTCGGATGCATGACAACCTTTTAATCAAACAAAACAGAATGTAGTTTTTTCGAGCTCTTTTCTAATAGTGAGATCAGTTTTTTTCCATAAAATCGTTGGTTTTCTTTAATCGTTTATACGCCGAAATTGTTTGTCTTATATCCAGACCAGGATATAGGAGGTGGATTGTGTCTTTCTCGTCTTTTTTCTTGTTTTTCAGCTAATGATAACAGAAGTTGTGAAAACTGTCGACGATACTTACACTTATCAGCCTCGATATCATCTTGGCAAAAGAATAAAAAAGAGAAAATATAATCATCAGTACTCTAATAAAAAAAAAAAGAAAGTAGGTGTTACTGTTCTTCTTTTAAATACGCAACGGGTACTTTCATGTTTACAACTCTTTAGACTCAGATCAATGATGAAGTTACCCGGTTGGAACAATTGCCATGCGAGTTATTTTCATTGATCTTTCAACATTTATCACCACAAAATTTAATTTTTTCGTTCTTTGGTCTAAACCAGCGTCTTGATTCATTCATTCATCATTCACCGTTACATCTCAATCTGTCAAGCATTTCAAAGTCGCAATTTGATTCTTTATGTCAAGCAATATCACCAAAATCATTAAGATCACTGATATTGTCAAATGAACGTCAAACAAGTGGACAAATTTCAAGATTTTTACAAATGTTTGATGTTCAACAATATTTAACTAGTCTTCGATCGTTAACACTCCTAGAACCAAAATTAGAGCAGGCAAAACAAATACTCAGCAGGTACTATGAATTTCTACTTCCACTTCTGTCTCTCGATGAAGCCAGATTTTGTGCTTCTTCCATGGCTAATTTTAGAAAAATCAGCGATAATTTAATGCTGATAACGAACTGCTTTTCTCCTTCTAGTCCGCTACCATCATTAATAACGTTAAACCTAACGTCATCGACAATCGCTTATAAAGTAACAGGGGATATATGTAAAATGGTTTTATGTGGTTTATTATCATTGAAAAAGTGTTCATTGGTGTTCAACGATCGAGTTGATATTGATAGTTTGGATCAAACTCTTGACAATATGAAATACTTTACGTGCAAAAAAGTAACGTGGGAAGATTTGGTTAATAAGTTAGCCAAACATTTGTCACACATTCATTATTTAGACGTCGAAATAATTCCGAGTAACATATCCGTTGTCCTAACAACGACAGAACAAAGTATTCCAACATTAATACCAAATTTATTATGTTTAAAATTATCAATTACCAAAACAACATATGATGAAATACAGTTTTTGTTGAAAGGTAAGACTTTTTCCAATGAATTGGAAATCATCAAATTTAAATTCTAATTATTATCGTTTCTTGATTGTGTCTTTGTTTTAGGTTTACCTCATTTGAAACAATTAACGTTGAAAAAGCGTCCTCACACTTCAAATGATGAAATGACATTTGTACAAGGAAATTATTGGGAAAAACTCTTCTCGTCTCATTTATCTGCGCTAACTCATCTAGAGTTCTATATCGAAATTTGTCATGATCAACCAATGAACGTTGTTAATCTTAATGTGTTGCTCTTACCGTTTGAAAATGAATACTTTTTGAAACGCGGCTGGCAGTTTATGCTCTATTATGATTCTAAAGTGTTATGCCTACATACTCTCCCATATCCAGAATCAACATTTTCAACAACATTAAATCGAATACAATCAACAGTTGGACGAGCACACGGAACACACAATGAAATTGTGAAACACTTACATGTGTATAATATTGGAAAGAAGAGATTTTATTATCCAAATGTTGAATCGTTATATGTTGAAAACTCATCCTATGATCACAAGTGATTAACCGGTGGTAAAGTGACGTATCTTTCTATAAGAATGTTTTTCATTTCAGATTTTTCTTCTCTGTGAAAAAGTGCCTTAATTATCGAAAATTAAAATTATTAAAATTACACGAATCCGACGATGATGTTCAGATGATGGATTCGACAACACTCTCAAAACTCTTGTATACATCTCGGCAATTACAAACATTAGATTTGTCCATAGTTGAATTAATCGAATTAACCCAGCAGTTTACACATGTCACACTTTGCAAACGACTGTCTCAACGGATACAACATTTGATTCTTAGCGATTATTATTGTACACCCAATGATGTCGATCTATTTGTCGAAACGTTCTCGAAAAATTTAGAATCACTTGATATTAGTGTGAATACATTGAGTGATTGCTGTGAAATTTTGAAAACTGTTTTAAGACGAATGAGAAAGTTGAAAAATTTGTACGTGACATTTGGACATGATGAGAAAAAAATCGAATTTAATTTTGATACGTGGTTAAGAGAAAATACATCGTTGTCAAATTTTATCTCTGATATTGATGGCAAATGTTTAAATTTATGGTTAGGCGATAAAGGCCCGGTTGTCAAATCGTCTGATTTCTCAGAATTTTCTGATTCTGAAGACTTTTTCTGATTGACTGATTCGAACAATATCATCTATAGCTACATATGGGTGAGTGATGTAGAAGTCAAAAATCTAATTAGACTTTTCGATTTGCGCATTTATCAGACATGTAGTGATGACTAGCATCACAATAGCTAGTGACAATCGGCTTTTGAACCACATTTCGGTTCAAACGATTTGCATTTTGTTCATCAATTAGTGATGGTAACATGAGAATGAGTTACGAGGGAATATTTCACTGGTGTTTGTTATTGGCTGATGTACATGTCAGCTATCTATTTGGTCTTAGGTTTATTGTAAATTAGTAAATTGGTCTTATTTGGTAGTGTGAGTTACCGAATTACTGGAGAACATCAAGAGCAAGGGAATATTTCTATGGAAACCTTGTGATTAACAGTATGGCTTTCCTGTCGTTTGGTTCGTATAGTCATCAACAAAGCGAACTATGTGAGCCTTGGACATTCTCCTATAATGTACCTTGAACTTTTGAACTTTGATTTTGTGTATTTCTTTAAATAACTGGATCAAAGTGAAAATAATTGATGATAAATCGAACTGTTAATGTGTTTTCATAAACTGAGACACTATCAGGCACTAACAGTCTAACATCGATTAATCGAATGAAACGCTATTCATTATGATAGAATAATATGAGAATAATTAAACGTAATAGTCAACTTTTATAAGAATCAAATGATATTTTTATTATGTTTTCATAAACCATTTCGTAGGTTAGAAAATCTTTTTTTACTCTCAATAGGCCCTACTTAATGAGGAAAACCTCATCTCAAATCTGACTTGGAGAGTGGATCGACAAATCGAACATTACAAGTAAAAGTCAGAAGTCTATTTGGACTTTTAAAAAATCTACAAAGTCTAAAAGTAGTAGTTTCATAGCTTATCTTAGATTTCTTAGACTTTTAGATTTGCACATTTATCAGACTTATAGTGATGACTACCATGGAAGTCACTTGTAGAATTCGACTTTTGACCTACGTTTCGATTAGAACGATTTGTACTTTGCTTTTAAATTGGTACTCTCGGTTTTCGAATTTCGACTTTCACTGTCACACAAGGCTTAAAGTTTTGGACTATGTTTTATCCAGAGTCTTTGTTCGTCTTCGATCTCGCACTGAATTATGCATCGGAAGAGGACAAGTGTGTGTGTAAGCGAGGGATGACGACTTAGATGCAGGTTTTGTAGGACACTTCACTTCGATGGTGCTTTTTGACTTTTCTAAAAGGCGATTGGAAAAGCTAAAGCGCACCTCAAAGCTTGATTTAAAATTGTTTCATGTTTTCTGCTGTTGATAGTTCTCGTGGAAATGAGATTCAAGAGAAAAAATTGACTTTCTACGCTGTTTTCGTTTGATATTAAAAAGTTTAGAGATCATCCAGTACGTTATTGTGCGACATCTATTATCATGTGAAAATGTAACTATCAACCTTGACGATAACTCCATTCACAATAATCGTTACAAAATCTGCAAGCTGTATGAACAATGCATTCTGTTCTCATAATAATTGTATTTTACCATTCTCGTTTAATGAAGCCTTGATTGTTTATCTTCTAACAGGTAGTAAATTCGCTGTAAAAATCTTACAATCGAGTAATCCAAGTGGTAGTT